ATCTAGCGTATACAGAGAGGGCTCGAGGGACATGGGTGGCAATCTGTCCTCGCCGTCGAGCGAGCTCAGCGAGGTCAATGGCGACGACATCCGGCTCGAAGCATCAACCTCCCTACTACGGTATCTGTTAGGCTCTTCCCAAACGCGTCTAAAAGCGACTTACGCTTCACCAATTCCTCCACCGCCTTTAGAAACTTTGTCCCAGAAGTCAAGCGTTATGATCCTCTCTGGCACTCGATATCTACGACCGTTAATGAGGACCTCGTCCACATTGAGCCTCTGCGGAACAACAGCCGGTGGTGGTGCTGCATCTGTGTTTACGATTTCGATGATTCCATTGTTCCACTGGCGAGGTTTGGTGATGTCGATCGGTGTCGCATGAGCTCTGGGGATGCGATGCTTAGGTTGCTGAGGGTAGCGTTAGGGGACATAACATAGTAAGAGAAAAACAAAGACCTCACCAGTACGCGTTCCGCGTGGTTCGGACACATCCACTTCTTGTTCCAAGGGGGCATGAAAACCAACGGCGGATCCAAGCAGTCCAGGTGCCAGTGGAGATGGCAGTAATCGCACGAGATGATGGCCCTGCCCGTGTCATAGTTGACGCCGCTGCTTGATGTTGTCCGCCTCGCCCGTTTCACAGTAGGCGAGTCGGCAGCGAGCCCTGGGGGTAAAGCTGAAGTTCCACATCGGAAACAGAGAACTGGTTCGCCGTTGCGGTCTTTGAGTCTATAAGGATCACGGTCCTCCAACTGCCCATGGCGGCTTCAAGACGTTGTCAGATAGAAGAGACGAATGGAGATGGTCAGCGGCCTTACTTCAAGCGCGCTTGTTTGATCTCAGACGTATCCAAGTACGTGCCCCGGGCACTGCTACTGACTATATGCGCGTCTCAGTGAGACGGAGTACAAGCCTCGAGGGCGGAGGAGCTCACCGTCTTTGAAGAAGGTGCGGATATCATGTGGCAGTTGATATTCCGAGGGTATCCTGGTGCTCAGTTCGTGTATGAGTGGAGCCATGAACTTGAGCGATGCGGGTGGCTTGGGTGGTGGTCGCTATCCGGCCGCCCTGAATCATCACGATACACACGATTACGGATGATCTCTCACCTGCTCAAGAAGGCAAGCCGGACAAAACCACCTTTCGCCCTCCGGAAGGTCTGCTGGTTCCATCGGAGGATCGAGACACCACAGATGGAATGCTCTCGGACAGCCGTCGCAGTACACCAGAGAACCGAACGATCGGCAGGCGGAACAGTGGTCCTCATTGGACTGGATGCCAGGTGTTACGAGAGTAGACGAGTCGCAGACATCGGTACTCACCAGGGACGCGACTGCATCGTTACCAAGTGACACAACAGTCGGCTCCTCCTTCACTTTGACCACTGCATCTCTTTCCCTCTCCTTCCCCTTTCCACTATCCTTGCCCATTCGACCTCGAACCCGTTTCACCGGTAGTACGGACTCCGGAGGAGAGCCTTCAGCATGCGCAGTGGTTGCTCGGGATACCATCACGTCGTCCGAGTCAAGGGGTATGGAAAGAGGGTCGTAGTCTGGTGCAAGTTGTGATGACGAGGCCGCGACTTCTGGCCCCGCGATTGGGTCCGACAAGGGGCCTCCGGCAGCAAGGTTACGGGCTGAAGCACGCTGAGATCTATTCCGTTCGCCACTGCTGACGTGTGTTCAAGAGGGCGTCGATAGTGGCCCGTCGTATCAATTTGCAAGGGGTTCCGGATGTCGTGCGAGAAGTGCCAGTTCGACATGAGCATCGACGCTGCAAGTGTTGGGAAATAATAGCGACGCACCCCTTATCAAGACGGGCTCGTTTCCGCCTTGTGCCATCCATGTCGGTGGAGGCAGCAGGGATAGCACTCGCAAAATGGCTCGAGTACGTTGTCCCAGGGTCGGATGCGGGCAAGTATGAGAATGCGACAGTGGTCTTTTTGTGATCCTTCCTCGGAAGACCGACCTGCTGAAGGGAATCCAGAGGGGGCGGACCAGGGAGTATCTCCGTGGCTAAGGACGGATCACCTTCGAGGTGTGGAGGTTGTGAGACAGAGACTCCTGGGTGCAGATACGCAGGCAAGCTCTGCACGGACGCCATCCCCAGGCGGTTCGAGCACGAGTGAGGCAAAGCGTGAGCCGAGAGAGCTCTGCGAGGGAGGAGCTGCACTTTCCGTCGGAGGCGTACACCTTCAAGAGACAGACACCGTCTGTGGCGGTGATGGCTGCAAGCGACGAAGTCCCTATGCTCAATTTCGTCCCTTCAGCTGCGGCTACCTGGATCGTTGCAACCCTATATATATGATCTATGTATACACCCGAGCTTCCGGTTCGTCTAGCATCCCACGAGATTGAGCCTCTCATCGCAAAATCGTGTAGCTGCACCATGCACTATGTACAAAGATAGGTCCCGATCAACGCCATGAAATCACGGCATACAAAGAGCGACGGGGGCATCCCGACGCAATGGCCAGCACCGTCTGAAGCCCGGAAGGTGAGGCCAAGCTCCGAGGACCTGCACTGTTGATCGCAGAGGTCCAGTCAGCCTGCGGATTAGCGGTGACCATAGCTCCTACTGCATGAAGTGACTGAGCTCGCCGGCGATTGCGGTGAATTCGGGCCAGATCGAATGGCGATCCAAGCAGTGTTTACCTATTGCAAAGACACGCTAGTTCGGGTAGCGTGGTCGTTTGAGTAGCCACAACTTGGTTGCTGCTCCTGACTGGCCATGGAACTGAAACCGCGGGTCAGTATCGCCCGGGCTATTGCGCAGAATGGTGCGGCATACCCGGGATACAGACATGCAGAATAGTCGCTATGCAAGTAGTATGCCATCCTGCAATGCTAGTGGGTTCATCGGGAGAGCGTAACATACTCGAGGCGTTGACACTGGCGCCAAGATTGAAGTCGATGTCGGATTGGGTCATTGGGAGGAGTTTGGGATGCTATCCCTAGACATACCTACGCAATAACACTACTCGCACTGGCCGGATGCTATCAAATTCAGATGCAGACCAGTGAAGTATCACGACACCTTCCAGCCATCTTCCGTCGTGGAGTGCACGCAACCGGACCACATATCAGCGTAGTCTTTCTTCCTTCTTCCTAACAACGCTGTCCCGTGCCGACAGCGCTATGTGGGGATATGTAATAGCGCATGAAGCACGCTACCTGTCTCCAAAAGCCTATACAAGTCAGCATCCCGCCTTCTTACGCTTACAGACCTGACTTACGTTCCGTATAGTGTTCAGGACACAATCCTCGAAGCGCGACATTATGGGCGACTGGCTGTCATCCTACGGTATTGCCATATATAGAACTGGCATAGCTGTAGGCATGTCGCAGTCTTTGGGCTTGTGCATGCGCACACCCCTGCACAGCGATTCCGAGTCCCGTATGCGGTCCTGGTGCAAGGCGGGAAGGGGCGGGAGAACCACGTGTTTGCGACTCTCTCACGAGCGCCTCCTGTCTGCTCCACCTTGGGCGTTGCGTTCAACTTCCTTTGCCCGGTGCCATCCCGTTTCCCTCCCGTGCACATATGGTATGTGCCTGGGCCGCGTTCCTCGCGAGAATGTCTATGCAGACGCAGACGTCCTATGCTATGATACCCTCACAGCCTCGTCGAGGAGACCAAGGTCAGCGCAACCGTTCGCGGCTGTGCAGCAATCTGGTAAAGGTGGAACTTCCGTTCTTCCCACCACGAACATCACCGCACCTGGAGGAGAATTCGAGTCCACTGGCATCCCGGTCAGCACGCCCTTCTTCGGTCAAGGCCTTCAAAACCCCAACCTGTGTAATGGATCCTCTCTACCGCTTTCAGCTCCTTATCTGATAAAGGCACCCCCTGTGACGCAGGTCATCTTCAACGGGATTGACATTGTCGCTCCCGAGCATTTCGGCGGTAAGTAGTCCCATTGACTTGGTTGTGTCTGGACCAAACAAAAGCCAGAACAGTGACCCGTTCTTTTACACTCTGAGCAGTCCCATTGCTGCTACTTATACCACTGTCGAGCGCGGACTGAGGTTTATTTTTGCTCAGGCGAAGCTGGACAAATGTGCTTGCCCTCCATAGATTCCTCGCATAGCGCTCTCCGCTAGGAACCCCACCCACCGCTCCTTCACTACAAACACCAACCAAATGAGAGATCCTGCTGACCTGGCTGCAAAGATAATTGATTGAGACACCGATTTGCATATCACTGAGCAAAAGCTCATACAATTGAGTCAGGCCATAGCAAACCTAGTTCACGCTCTGTATGACAAAGTCAACGCGACACAGGAGCGCCTACTGCCCCTCAGGCTGCCAGGGATTGGACTGACATACGAGTCTCGTTCCATCATCAAGTTGCAGGCTACAGCATTCATATTATATTCCGGCATTTGGTCCAGGCAGCAACTGTACCGCTGTGAGAAGCTAGTTCCGACTGAATCGTCTCGCTGGGCCCATGTTTACAGCCTGCGTACAAGAGCAGTGGTCAACCCGAGATCATCATGGACTCCACAACTGGTTTGCCTCTGTCTAAAGATCTTTAAGCGCCAAGTATGTTGAACTTCGTTCTTTCCTCTTGAACACACATCTGCAGGAAGGGCTCGCAGCGTCAATGCAGACATCAACGGTATCCGTGAGGACCCTGGTGCGTCCTTCTGCTCATTCTGGCCCAATGCGTGACTAACAAGTATTATAGGTGAGACACCGATGAGCGCGGGATGCGAGATGGCTGTCAGTATCTTTGCCATCGATTACGATGCTCCCGAACGCATCGGCCGGCCCATCCAGAGGCATCTCCGCAAGAATATCCTTTCTGATCATTTGCTCTGAACACACCATGATGTCTTAGATTGCAGCACCATTGCTCACCATTCTGCTAAGTGCTAGTATCCTTGCATGTCGATGTAGGTCGACGCAAATGATGAAGATTTACGCATGGACTTACGAGATGTGGTGCAAGTACTGTGGGATCATCAACCTGCTGAAGCAAAACAAAAACACGCAGCTCCTACTCCCGCCTGGACTCGAACCCGGAGCCTTCAGATGCTACACAGGGATCATCTGCACGAGCTATAGGAATCTGATATCATAGCCATTAGACGACAAGAGCATGGTAGAGTTCATTTTGTGCTACATCATTAAACTGTGTACAGCTCCACGGCTTTGGACGTTCTCGCAGACCTTATTGAACGAGGTGACGACCAAGTATATATCCTACTCGACAATACTGGGAGAGGCGGACGCATGAACTAGTCTGTGAAGCTGTTGTTACGGCGGCTGCAGCAGGATGCAGCGACACCAAGCAATTGCCTTTCTGGGATCAGTGAAAGAGGTAGGGTAGTGCGACAAATACGTGTAAACAACGCGTACGACATGGCCAACACCACCGTACGCGGCGCGGTGGCCATCCACGGCCAGAACCCTCAGGTATCTACTTCGTTTGCTTGTGGACGGAAGACATTCATAGCTGATTGGATAGTACCTAGTTGAATCTGTCATCCGCAACCGCATCTATGAGTCGGCGTATTGGAAAGAGCATTGTTTCGCCCTAACCGGTGTGTTCGGATGGCCATAGTGCTTGGATGCTTGCTGAGTTCTCCTCTCTCCAGCCGAGACGTTGATTGACAAAGCCATCGAGCTCAAGGCGATAGGCGGCGTGTATGGCAATCAGAAGCCTACGGAGTTCCTCTGCCTGCTCCTGAAGCTCTTGCAGATCCAGCCGGAGAAGGAGATCCTGCTGGAATACCTACAGGCGGACGAGTTCAAGTATGTCCGATATGTCGCCGACGATGTTGAGAGGAGACTCACCGTGACTTGACAGATATCTCCGCGCTTTGGCAGCCATGTATATTCGTATGACCTTCCGAGCCGTGGACGTCTACGAGGTACTCGAACCGTTACTCAAAGACTATCGCAAACTACGTTATCGTGGCATGGGTACGTGACAGCAAGGTCTACCGACTCTTACTCCTTGCTTACGGTAGAGAAGGTGGCTATTCCATCATACACATGGATGAATTTGTCGACCAGCTACTAACGGAAGAACGGGTATGCGACCTGATATTGCCGCGCATCACGAAACGCGACGTCCTCGAGGATCTAGGCGAGATCGGGCCACGAAAGAGTCGCTTGCTTGATGCTATGGAAGGCAAAAGCGAGCATGGGAGCGATAGAAGTCGCAGCAGGAGTCGAAGCACGGATCGTAGCAGAAGCCCTGGCTCGCGGAGCCCCAGCAGCGCACGAAGTCGCTCTCCTTCGAGAAGCCCCAGTCGAGGTCGGAGCCTCAGTCGAGATGGCAGGTCGCCATCCCCGCCCGGTTCCCGGTATGTCTCTCGCAGTCGGAGCCGCTCCCGCCCTGGTTCGGGCTCCCCCTACCGGTCGCGTAGCCGCAGTATTTCGCCGGACCGTCTCAATGGTTCGGCAAATGGCTCTCCTGGTCGTTTCCGCTCTCGTAGTCGCAGCATCTCACCGGATCGTATGGACACCACTGCTTGACCTGGTCGTACTCACCCCGTATCTCCTGTACCATACTTAGCGCTATGAATGCAAAATCTGCACAGTGTATTTTTGCTCGAGGCAGGCACGCCCATGAGAAGATTCCTGTAGATCTACGACAATGCTCCCCATATCTGCCCTGTATCAGACTGAAGCACCGTTGCTGCTGGGATGCATGTAGCGCATCGTGTCGAAGCAACACGCCGCGCCCGGGGTGGCCGCGGCGTCACATCCTCGCACATTTACGCTGGCTTATTAAGCGCTCTGCCACAACTTGTTTCCGGATACCTTCTAGACATGCTCGGTGCATGGTCATCATCGTCAGTCTGTTTCTAGGGAAGTTGTTAACATTTACGAATCTGATGAAACGGTACAGGCAGCGTTGTTCAGGAGATCAATGAACTCACTTCATACGGCCATCTCCGCAAAACCGCTCCTGGTCATCTGTGGGACCACCGGAGTGGGGAAATCGAAACTCGGCATCGAAATAGCTCTTTCCCTGGCGCGAGGCAGCGATAGGCACCCATACCGTGGCGCGAGGGTTATCAATGCAGACTCTATGCAGGTCTATGAGGGAATGGACGTCATTACGAACAAGGTCCCGCTTGAAGAGCGGTGCGGTGTGGAACATCTACTCATGGACTACAAGAAGCCCGGAGAGCAGCTCACGGGCCCGGAATGGATCAAACACGCTATAGAAGCTGTAGGGATACCCTACAAAATTCTGGGGTATGGCGCTAAAATTGACGCAACCGTAGATCGACGAAACGCACAGTCGGAACCAGATCCCAATTGTGGTGGGCGGGACTTCGTACTGGATACAACACCTGATTTTCCCGGAGCGCATGGCCTCTCTTGAGAAGCCCGAGGATGGAGCTCAGCTGCCAGATAGCCCCCAATCACGGGATTTTGCGAACGCCCTTACTGCACTTCCGCAAGAGCTGCTCGACCTTTATCATAACCTGCCCGAACTGGCCCCAAGCGCAGATGACGACCCATCGATTGCACACAAGTTGCATGATCTTCTCATGGCTCTAGATCCCTTAGTCGCGCGGCGATGGCATTGGCGGGATGCCCGTAAGGTGCTCACGAGCCTCCGAGTCATCCAAGAGAACCGTCGACTTGCGAGTGAGGTCATCAAGGAGCAGTCTAAAGTCGTCCCGAAACCGAGGTCATACTTCTCGGTCTGATGTCTCGCTCGATTGCTCACCATGTACTAGATATCACACTCTATGCTTCTGGCTGTATGCGAAGCCTGAGGTATTGAAACCCCGTCTGGATGAACGAGTGGACCAGATGATCGAGGTGAGAAAACAAATGCCGTCGCCACCTTGCTGTTCTTACGCTCGGCGTAGTAGCAAGGCCTCCTAAGCGAGATACAGACTCTTAGAGCCATCGCTTCCGCTGCTACGGCGGAGAGGGCCGCCGGCGACGCTCCGTCCGCGGGCGAGGAGCCGCGCATGGATTACACACTCGGTATCTATCAAGCAATTGGTTAGCACGCATCTCCGAGTCGCTCTAGTGATATGCTAATGAGCCAACTTGATCACGCAGGATACAAGGAATTCCACGAGTATCTGAGTTCCCCCTCGCCTTCGGAGAAGGCGTTTCGGGATGCGGTCGAGCAAATGAAGCTCGGCACCAGACGTTACGCAAAACGACAGGTGACATGGATCCGCAACAAGCTATTGCCTGCAGTCAACGCTGCAAACACAGACAGCCGGGCAGAAAGCGGCGCTCCTACGGTCCCGATGTATCTCCTGGATGCCACAGGTGAGTCGCCACGATGATCATACGGCGCGAGCAAGGCTGAATATCAATGGCTGTGCTAAGAGCTTGGGGATGCCTGGAAGACTAACGTGCACGATGTTGCAGAAGCCATCACGGAAAGTGCGTAGTCACCGCTGTCTCAACGTTCAGCTCAGTTTACATTGCGCCTGTAGAGTTTTTGGAAGGAGGCCCTTTGCCAGATCCGTTGACGCTTTCAAATACTGCGGCGGAGATGCTCACCGTGCGCGAGAAGCCGACAGAGTATGTTCCAATCGACGATGACGCCCGTCCCATATTCTGACAGAAGCACAACCAGCCCCCTTTCGGTGCTTACGGCGAACCAAAGGAGGGTGTGCGAAGTGTGCACCACGGATCCGAGCCAACCTGTCATGGTGGACGGCGGTCTTTGGGAAACGCATGTCCGTAGTCGTGGCCATCGGCGAATGACGGGAAAGGCAGCCAAGCAACGTCGGCCATCGGCAGAGCATCAGGGGGATTCTTTTGTGGGCCGCGAGACTGAAGCTTCATCGACGCTTGGACTTTGTATTCCGAACGATTGAATAAGAACACGGAAACATCTGAACGTACCCTTGAGGTGTGCTGATTCCATGACCCGAATAAAACATATCAGCCTCGCGATCTTCCGACAAACGCAGACGTGCACGATACATGAAGGCGCATAATAGAGTGATTCTGCTGTAAGAATTCTTATGGGCTCCAGCCAATCAGGTGGCGCCACTCGCCTTAAGCGATGCTAAGCGATGTAAGAATTATTCCAGCAGAATCACCCTAATCCGGAACGAAGATATCATCCGATTTTCGCAGGTTAGATAGGCACATTTGGTTCGGGCTGGTACATGGTTATGGCAACAAGGCTGGAGAGGGAAAGGGAAACGAACGCTATTTAGGGCGAGGCTGGAGGACTGTAATGATGTAATCCGTACACACTGTAACTTATTCCTGATTCGCCCAGAGAGGCACCCACTCCTCCCAATCCTCCCAGTCTCTGTCGAGAGCCACTTGATCATCAAGCTGGCCGACGTGTGCTTTCTCCGCGTCTTCGGGACGAAGAGGCCACACGGATTTCTTCCTGGGGTTCAGGATCCTGTCGATAACATGCAGCACCCCGTTGCGCGTGGGGATGTCGGCCAGGCTGACCGGCGTGCCGTGAGCGAAGGTTGTAGTAGTGTAGAACGTGCGGCGGTGCGCCGGGATGGGCACGGTGTGCTCGACCTGGACGACGTACAGGTTCAAGGAGTGATTGGTGAGCAGTGTCGATGTTGTGATGTTGCGGCTATAGGAGATCTTAGGGCGGGGAACCTTAGGCAGGTGGTGGTGACCATCTTCGAAGGGAGGGTTGTGAGGACCAGGCGGAGGCGGAGGCGGAAAGTGCGGCCCGTGACCCGGGAACTGAGGACCGTCTCCCGCCGGATGATGGTGGTAGGGCGGCGGGGGCGGGTACTGATGGGGTCCATGCTCGAAAGGCGGGCGGTGAGAAGGGAAGCGCGGCGGGAATCGAGGTGCCTCTCCGTAGCCGTGACGACAGTGCGGCGGGGGCGGGATGTGATGCGGACCATGTTCGAAGGGAGGATGACAAGGAGGAGGGGGCGGCGGCGGCGGGTGGTGGTGGAAATGTGAGCCATATCCCCCAGGAGAATGGTGAGGCGGTGGGTGATGCGGTCCATACTCCGAGAAGGGAGGAGGGAAGTGCGGGCCGTGCTCAAACGGAGAGGGGAAGAAATGGGAGTGATGTTCCGCCCACGGAGGATACTGGGGAGGAGGCGGGTGATGAGGTCCCTCATAGTAAGGGAAGTGGGCAGGCGGCGGGGGTGGCGCATGGGAGTG